GTCTGGATTTTAAATCTTCAGATTCTAACCTAAACCAGTTCAGATAGGGCCAAAACACGACTCATTTCAGCTGCAAAGTACCACACATTCAGGAGACCAGAATGTGACCCCTTGCCAAAGCCAAACCCTGGAACCAATTCAGGACAAAAGCGAGACATTGAACCCTCAAGCCCAGATAAAACCCAAACCCTCTCTCTAAAGCCAGCGCTGTCAATAAGGACACTGTCTTTTCAACTCCCTTCTCTTTAAAGGCAGTTTTCTGTTCTTTTTCATGCCCTGAAATTATTGCCGTGCTCTCTTCCACTCTGCCCCAGAACGCCCCAGTAAGAATTAAAGTGACAAACTCACATATTATAGTTCTGAAAAAACTCCCACTCTTGTGTGACCTCCCCACACAAAACATTCCTATTGTACCTCACGTTTCCTGTTTGTGCTGGTCCACAACCACCCGGCCACCACTGAAAACCTTTTCAGCAGTTGCTCCACTTGGCTCTCGCAGCCAGCAAGCACAGATTCATATTTAAGAAACAAAAACACAAACAAAAGCAAACAGCCAAAGTTCGCTCTGCACTTTTGACCGGTAAGGAATTCGCTTCCATTCATCCCCCACTGTTACGGGTTCTACCAGACCATACACAGAAGGGACATTTATCACCCGCTTCTCGCGCGAGACTTTTTGATAGGCAATAACTCTAAGCTGATGTTGTTTGCCTCCACCACAGCTTTTGCAATCCCTCTGCCGGAGCTGAGCTGAAACCGGATCACGAGGCAGAGCGTTACGTGAAGACGGCGATGGCGGCGCGGTCCCAACCCAACCACGCGCTCCATCTAGTGTCCCCTGTTCCGCCGGGGCCCACCAGCAGCTCCTTCCTGTCATGCTGCAGCAGCAAACAGACCTCTCCGACACGTACAAATGTAAGAAATTCCCAACGAGTTACCCTCAGTCATCATCTTTTGGTAATCAGGTGATTCATGCCGTTTATATTTTGATATACTACCAGTAGAAGAGGAAATATCTCGGGACCAAGAAAAAAAAAAAAAAAAGCTGTGTGCTGCTAAAAATGGTATTTAGAGTCATTAATCATAATACTTTTCTTTTCTACAGAACCACATCACAATTACTATTTTTAAAGCGTTGTTTTTAAAGAATTGTGAAAAAACTTCAATGGACTTTGGGAAAATAAGCCAGCAGACTTGTTTTGAAAGTGTTAGAATAAAAAGGATTCTTGGAAGAGTGGCCTGCTTCCCTACTTCTGCGCTGAAGATCTGCTCAGTGCCAGCCCTTAGCTCAGTGCCAGCCCTCAGCTCAGTGCCAATTTGCAGCATGAGAATCGTTTCCCAAAAAGCCATGTCAGGTTTTACATTTCGTGCTGGCTACAACTAAGGAAGCAGCATTAAACTAGGAAGTAATACAGCAGAGAATGTTTAGACACTTTACAACACACATGAAGTTTTTGCATCGCAGAAATAGCAATAAAAAGCCTATGATCAAGCTAAATAAATTGACCTCTCCCTCCTAGACGGAGATGTATGCAGCAAGAATGTTTTGGTGGCCAACAAAATCTGAATCAGATGTGAACTGATATTAACCAGGGGCAGAAACATCCCCCGCAAACTGAGACTGCTTTAGATTTTAAAATCTACTTCAAGCAGACTGTTTCCAAGCGCTCTCTTCTCAGCTAACCCCAGGATCTCTCCTGGCACTCGAATTCGTGCCGCTCCAAAAAGCGGCTGGTGAGAGATGCTCCCAAGAATCCAGACAAATGACAGTTTTCAACACTGGAAAAGCAGCTAACGCGGCCATGGAAAGCAGACATCCAGAGCCGCTCACACACCGCATCTATTGCGTAACCGCTGTGATTTGCCCAGCTGGCAGGCGGCGCTTATGAACAGCTTGACATGAAAATCGTTGTACCCACTAAATGGAGGGCTGTATTTAAAAAAAGATGCACCTGTGTGACAGCTGAAGAAGTTCAGGCGCAGTGTCTGAACAGGTGCCTGCATGCCATCAATTCCTTCCCGTTGGCCCTTAATGGCAGAGACAATACTGCAAGCATCAACAAGAGCTCCGCAGCACATGGGTGGGCCCAGGAGCATTGTTCTCCAAGCATGTAATTGCATTCCCAACAATCTCACTGTACATACAGATGTAAAATGAGCAATTAATTAAAAGCAATTTTAAAACACTTACTGAGTCTATTCTCTATTGCCAGTAAATCCAGGCACTAAAGCAGAAGAGGATTTGCTGTTTTGTAACTTTTCATTTCTTCAAATGAATCATAGAATGGAGGGTTGGAAGGGAACCCAAAGATCATCCAGTTCCAACCTCCCTGCCATGGGCAGGGACACCCTCCACTACACCAGGTTGCCCAAAGCCCCATCCAACCTGGCCTTGAACACTTCCAGGGATGGGGCAGCCACAACTTCTCTGGGCAACCTGTGCCAGTGCCTCACCACCATCTGAGTGAAAAATTTCTTTCTTAGATCTAATCTAAATCTGCCCTCTTTCAGTTTAAAGCCATTATGAATGAAGAATAAGTTTTACCATAATGAAGAAACATTATTAAAGTATATAGAACATGGCAAGTAGATATACACTCATGTAGAAGTTAATACAGCAAGTTCCCCACTTAGATTATCCTATTTCTACTTTTAGAGGCAATGGCTGCACAATTAACAAAGCAAATTAGTTTAAGACTCCTCTTTTTGAAAGCTGGAGCTCCTAATTGCATTGTTTCCAGATGGGTTAAATCCAGTATACTATTCTGAAATAAATTATCCTTAAAAGCTGCATCAACAGTCTTAAGTTAGTACTCTGAGTTCCCTTTCACACAAGGTGTAGGCTCAAACTGAGAAAATATGAAGGACTGTATCACTACGTCGATAGCATATTAAACGGCGATGTTGCTGATATAGCTGAATTGACAAGAATATTAACAACAGTGCAGGAACTTAAAAGGGCAGCACACTGTGAGGGCAATAAACCCTAAATAAAGTGTTTTTACGCTCCCACCGCCATCTACTGGCTACAAAGCCATATGTATTCCACCACGTCAGGAACCATGCAGTGTTCGGACAAGCCTTCAGTGCCCAGAAAAGTGTTAATTGACCTGAATTTACAGTTCATGCTAATCACTAAATCTTGCAGGAGAAAAGAGGAAAACTTGCTTCTCTCTCTTCCTACCTTCACTGCCTTTATGCAATTCTCTCAATGTAATAGAAACGTGTTTACCTGCCTTGCATACTTTAAGCAAACAAATATTTCTCCTGTATTGTTACACATTAGATGTTGATGGTATAGTTTTATTACGTTTTATTCTATAACTACCTTCTAATTATTTAGTGCAATCTATTTTGTCTGTTTTTCCCCCAACAAAGTTAAGTGAAACCTTGCCTCTTACATTCCAAATAAATATCTTCTCTAACAATATTAAACTAAATTTCTTTTCCTTGGTGATGCACCTCCCTGTAATCTTTGGAAGGCTGTTTACCTCCTGCACAGCCACCTTAAATTATATTGATAAACCAATAGAGAAGTTGTATTTAGTATATATGGTACTTTAATGTCAGCTCAGGTCATGGCATAAATATATCCACCAAGCTCACATACCCCACAGAAAGTGATATGTTATGAAATTTAATTTGTCTTCTATTAAAGTATTTTAGAACTATTTACACATCTAGATTTTTAAATAAAGAGTAAAATAAAAGTCAATTAATTCTACCTTCTTGTATGAAAAAAAAAAGTGGTGCTGTCTTATGAAGACTTCTTTATGTGACAGAATCATCCTGGAGTGGCCTAGGGTATAAAGTGACAGGGCACCTCGGTTCGGGACTGGTAATTTTGATTGATTCTCCCTCTGTCCAGCCCATGTGTCTTACTGTTCCAAAACTATTAACAGCATCATCTCTGCAAGTCAGAAATATCTGTACATTGCCAATTCACTGCTGCCTAAGCACTATTCGGCGTTACATAAAAATGTTTAAACACTTTCATTGGCTTTACTGCATTTCCATTTCCCATCATTTAGACTGACAGCAATATTTTTGTCTAAAGGCTATGCATGCATAAACTTGTTTTTGTTTAGCAATAGTTTCCTTTCTCCTGTACTTTCTGCGTCCAGAGTCTTTAGGAGAGAAGCTACACCAAGAGTAAGTCTAAGACTACTGCAAACGCAGCCCATAGAGATGCCATTCCATCTAACAGGCATTGCCCTGCTGTGTGGAAAAGCATGAGTTTCTTGTTTCTTGTAGTGTTTTCTGTGTTATTGTTAATGATTAAAGCAGTTCTGAAAGTAAACATCTGTAATTGTTCCAGATACAAGATGACATTTGTTGCATAAACTGGTTTTAATTATTTTGTGGCCATGAATCCTTTTCTTAAATCCAGGACAGTGGTTTCATAAACAAGGAACTAATCCAATGGCCAAAAGCAAAACACACCCAAACATTTCCCTAACTTTCCTAGCTAACTTGAAATAAACAACATCATACAAATTTTCAGAACAAGAGATATTATTTTATCTTTGTAGACAAACATTTTTCTTGCTATTATTTTCAAAGCAAAATTAAAACAGACTGAACTTCAAAATAGCTGCCTGTTTCAGTGGTTTCAGCTAGAAAAAATGATCATTTTAAGTACTAAAAGAAAGAGTATGATGAAAAAAATTAAATGGAAACATTTGAGCTGCACACACTAGAAAACGTTTCATTTAGATTAGGAAATTAGAGGACAGAGCGTTGCAGATTTTGACTCATTGTTTCTAAGTGAGGATTAACAGCAGGCTAATACCTTCAGTTCAACAAACACATGGCATATAAACTACAAAACAAGGTTATACAGTATAGAATATGAGTAGCATTCACCAGAGCACAGAAGCATTACACCAAGTATTTATTTTCCTTCAGAATTTCTTATATATTCTTTATTCTCAGATTTAAAAATATGCAACAATTAGAATACTTGATTGAGAAAGAACATGGTATGGAAATATCCTTACCAAATAGAGCAGAAAGGTGTGGAGACCTGTTCCAAGTCCAACAGAGGACAGAATGCCTAATCCTACCCAGTAGGCACACCAGAAGAACTTTTTCTCCATATACCGCACATACTGAAAAAGAAAAGTCACAAAAAGAGGAGAAAAAAACACAACACAAAAAACCCCAAGAATGGCAATATCTCTTAGGGGAGAAAGTTAAAGCTACAAACTAACGCAAATAGTCATGTGGATAACTGAAGTAGAATCCTAGATACTTCTATTTGCAATTTATTACAATTACAGCAGAGACACGTACAGAAAACAGCACACTTCGGAAAGAAAAGCCCACATGCTTTAGAATCAGCAAGTTTCCAAGGAGACAGATGAAAAATTCAGGTTCGATAGTAGGGGTTTGAAAATCAGAACAGGCATACCAGGTGTGAGAGTGAGCAGCAAGCCCCAGACAGTGTCTACTGGAGCCCAAGCAGCAAGCACACAACTGGGGAACTGCCTGAACGGATTAAACAAAGGAACGGAATTAGCTGCACTCCCGGTTACTCTGTTGAATGTTTTATCTTGGACCAGTGAGTAACCAGGTTTGTTACTTTTAAGAAAAGACTAAAATGTTGGCTGCGTGTTGCACACGTAACTGGGGGGATATGAGACAGTCTCAGCAAATTCTGGACATAAAAAGTCCAGTTGGGTACACGGGAGAAACGGGAAGCAGTATCTCCCTCTCACTGCCAGGAGAGCAATACTAAGAGGATGAGCCAGGCCATCAACTTGTCTGTACCACAGCCTCATGAAGAGGTGCCATTTCATACCACTCACGGACCGACAGCACCAAGATGAAGTTTACCAGTCTTAACCAGGCTTCAGCCTCTCAGGGTGTAAGAAGGTCCTGAAAAACGCCATGTGCCTCATCGCCAGCTTCTAAGAGCCATCTAGTGGCAAATGTGGAGTGCACCAAGCTCTGGCCATGCTGACACGGCCACCAACCAGGGCAGTTTTTAATGAAGCAGGTATTTGTCCATCAGGAACAGGCCACCGATTTACCACCTACCCACTTGCTCTGCAGGTAAGTGCAGGTCTCAAGCACGGGACTGAGCGAGCGAGAACACGATGAGCTGAAGCAACTCACTTCACTGCATTTCAAGACCCGTCCTGGGAAGTCAGGACTCCTGTTCCAGACCTGCGTGTCCCTCAGGCAGCCAGTGACACAGCACAGCAGTACGGAGGTAAGCAAGTTCTCTGAAACTGGGAACCTGCTGATTTCAGAGTCAGAGTGGCAGGAGGATTCAGCTGCACAAGGACATGCACTGCAGGGATTAAAAGGGCTGTCTGCCCTCAGGGCAAATCTGAAACTCAAGGAGAAATGGGGAGGGAAAAGGCATAAACACCACCATCACCTTATGCTTAAGCAATGGCTTACGCTCCAAGTGGTGCAAAAGCATCAGTCTCCATGTACTCCAAAGAACAAAAAAGTTTTTAAAATGGCCATTTTAAAACAATGGGGTATTGGAAGCATCGCAGGGCCAGATTAGAACCATAAAACCATTCTGTGCCTAGATGCCTATTCTAACATGGGATAGGGGTCAGGAGACCCTTCTATAGCAGAAGTAACATTTTTTGTGAGTCACGAAGTTCCATCACGACTCAGTTTAAGAGCTCATACCACTGTTAAAAGCTGGTTAACAGCAGATGTGAAGGAGTGCTGCAGAATCCGAGGTGTGCTTATTCAGGAACAGATGAGAAGTGGAACACCTACAGATGCAACAGAATAGACCAAGCAATAGAGCTGATCATTCTGCATCTCTAAAATGCAACTCATCCAGACACAACAGAGAGGAGTCATGACATGAGAAACAAATATCCTTAGCGAGCAGGAGTTCAAAAGCTACATTACAATTTCATGAAGACCCCATTCAATTCCCAGTACATCTACGTTAGCACAGGGACAGGAAGTATTAGTCACTAAGGAAAGTAACTTGAAAACCTCATACCTGTTGATGTGTTCCTTCAATGTAATACGTAGCTGTAAGCACTGCAAGCATCAGTAAAAATGACACCAAGATACTTCGCCGATGCCACAATCTTAAAAGACAAATGGCAATTAGGGTTTTTCATAATTGAGCACGCATTTCAAACTAACTTAGCCCTATAGACTGGGTCTGTGTGGAGGTAGTGGCGACAGTGGCAGCTGAAAAGTTTGCTATTATAAAAGCATAAACCTCCCAAGAAAATATCTGGGGAGCCTTTATTCTTTATGGAAAGATCTCTACTTCACTGTCAAGTGAGATCAAAGTTCAGCCATGAATGTTCTTTTTCAAATAAAGAAAAACAAAATAACTGTCTGAAAACAAACGCAATCTGAAAACAAATATTCAGCTTCTGCAGCCAAGACAGTCTCAAACACCACCCATGGTTAAGCAGAGTGCACTGGCTCTGGGCAAGGGATGAGCTGGGGGTGGAATACAGACGGGCGAATTTCAAACTGAGTGCTGGTGGGCAGAATCACAGCAACAGCAAGAGCAACAAATCTTTAGACTACTTTGGTTCTCCATATCTGTTGAAATTAATATCACTTTTAACAGCTCAAAGTTTAATAAATACATTTTAGCTAATTATGAACCGTTAGGAAGCTACCACAGTAAGGGGAGAAAAGCGTTTTCCTAAGTAATTTGATACCAAATTAGTTTTGAGTCTGTTTAGTTTTACATACACATTCTGCTTGATGTGTATGTGGCCACACACAGTAGATTAGCAAACACATTTATTATTTTCTGGGAAACACTATTATATTGTCACCTGATGATATAAAAAAGCAAGTGCTAGCATCACTTAATCTCAGACATGAAATAGCAAACTATGAACGGAACTTATCTATTTAGGTAGAAAAAGACAGAAACATGAGATGTGTTACACAGGAAAACAGCCACAAATGTTTCATATTAAGCAAGCAGAAAAAAGTCACTCTAATTTTAAAATAATTTGTGCTGCTTATATTAGTATGAGAATTGGATTTTCAAGTGATTATGATTTAAATCACAACTTACTCAACTGGAACACAGGATGTCATTAAGAGTCAATCTGAGGTCTCAACTTAATAGCTTATAATAGTTTTATTTTCTGTAAAGATACTGTCATGCTAGTGTTAGACAACATAGATGTGCTGCACGACAGGATGCAAGTGCTATCTGTAACAGAACCTGATGTCTAGGAAGCCAGGTAATATAAAACCTGGCTTTAATATAAAACCTCAAATGTTATTTCTGCTGAGTTCAAACAAACGCTTGGAGTTTGTCAGAAACGGCTAACAAGACCCGATAAAACAGTTCTCAAACAATTCCCAACGATAACTGAAAGGATGCACATAGTACACCGAGTAGGTTTGAGGGTTGATTTTTCTTGGAGGGAGGGTGCGAGTGTGGTACGTAAAAGGGGATTATGACTACACTACACAAACCTGGTATTTTTCAAACAAATCCTTTCAGAAGATCAAATGGAAAACACAAGTTTCTCCCAGGGGATATTACATGTCAAGCCCCTTGAGTCTAGCCCAGAAGGACCGACAAACACAGCCCGCTGTCACCAACCTCAGCTCACTCTGCAGAGGAGCAGTCCAACAGCTAGGGTCACCCAAGGTGATATCAGATCGTATCTTCTGACTGGGAAAACGATCGAAAACTCAATCCCAAACAGGAGAGATTCCAGTTACGAACACAAGTACTAGGATGGCTGCTATTCTTGCCTTTTTCAGCTGTCAGTTTTACTCACATTTGCCTTTTGGCACTCCAAACCCTCTCAAGCTTAGTGCGTTAAGAAATAGCTACGCATTTCAGCATTACTGGGGGATATTAGGACTGCTACTTGCAAATTTTCTAACTGGAATAAAACCTCGTTTTACCTAGTGTGTAAATAATGCCCAAGGAAAGTGCTTTGAATCCATTGTTTCCTGCTGTGAAAGCGGCCATGTAGCTTAGAAGCAAAGTCCTCTTTGCCTGTGCAATGTCGTAAACATCTCCGCAAGTTATATGTAACCCTGAACCCTGCCCTGGCTGAGCTATTTGAAGATCATTCAGCGATATTAACACATACATTAATAGATCAACACTTAACACTGCAGTTGTAAGTACAATATTTCTCGCCTTAAGGATCCCTAAGCACTGTCCCACTCCTTCAAAGTGGAATATTCTACTCTTTAGAAAGGAATCTTGCCATTTTCTTCCACTGACACCTTACTGTATTTACACTTATGTAATTTAGATAGAAGGTCTGGGTACACAGCTAGAAGTGTGGTATGTTCCAAAATAGCCACCTTGAAGGTACAAAAATAAATATGTTTTCTGAAAGAAGGATTTAAAAGTTGTGAATCATCAGGGAAAGTGAGAAAGCGAGATGTCAGAACGACCTACTGAATCAGAGCATGGGTTTCCCCAGAATGCTTAGCAGAAGTTAAAGAAATGATCTTTACTTTATGGTCCATTCCTTCACGTTTATTAGAGTTTCCAGGAAAAAATACTGCAAGGTAATAAGCGGTTGTCTCCACAGTACAATATTCAACCTCTCTTCTCGGTCCCTTCGCTTCCGTTCACTCAACGAATCTGCAAATGAAAAGCAGCAGAAATGTAAAAGCACAGGCTGACAGTCCAGATTCTATCCCACCCAAAAGGATACTGACTTTTTTTTTTTGCTTTGTTAGGAAGTTAATGTGAGATCCCAATCATCTTTTCTACTCATGACAAAGCATTTGCTCCAAGGGCATCAGAAATCAGGGGACCTTCAGCAAAGGAAATAAGGTGGCTTTTTTCCTCCACATAGCTGAGAACCATTCAAGAATTTAAGTGGCCCAGGGTGCAAGAAGTGCCATATCTCTTAACATTTAGGCAAAGAACTGCACTACTAGTTACAAACCAGCTAGTACGTTATGTTGAACACGAATCTATCACCCACTACAGAGACCACATTTCACTTTGAACACTTGAGTTTGGTTCTCTTCCAAAGCTATTCTCAGACCTCTCCAATCGAACCAGATTGAGTTACACGTGCTCTTTATACACTTCAGTCACCGTGTAACTGGATAACAGCATCTCCCCTCCCAGTCAGGATCCTCAGGCTATGGTGAGCCTTGTCATCCTGTTCAGCGTCTCCAAAACAAGCCCAGCAGACAGGAAGTGATCCCAGGAAAAGGACCTGCTTCTGTACCACAGTCCTTCGCTGGACCGATGCTATCTATACATTTGGTTGCTTTTAACTGCAGTGATTCGGTTACAACACAGAGCTTGAAGCATCAGTCACTGTGCACTACCACACAGCTACAGAAGAAAGGTTCTTCTAACTGATGTTTTATTTTGCACCTACAACACAGTCAAAGATTAATAAAAACCCTGGCTATTTTTTTGGATGAGAATGGCTTGTTCAAAGGCTGTCAAGCTAATGAGCAGTAATAATTCTGAAATAAGAGAAAAAAATAACATCACAAAATAATGGAAAAGTACACAAAAATAACTCTCTATCCAAACTGACACAAACTTGTTTAAACATCACTTACTACACAAAATCAAAACACAAGTATTCTGTTTTGCATACATTTAGAGCATTGTAATAATATTCATAAGTTTTCAATTTGTAAAATGCTGTTGCATTTAAAATATTAATCTAATCTGAATCCCCAGCATATTGTAACCCAAGATGTATTATTTCAGTCCTATTGCAGTAATTGAAACATGCTGCCTTATCAGATGCTAATATTTACATAGAAATAACATACCTCATTAGCCACATAGCCCATTTAATCTCATATTCTTTAGCTGTAAGCATCAGTTGCTTCAGATGAACTAACAGAAATGGCAAATACTGGATAACACCCACATTCCCTCAGAGTTACAGAATGATTTAAGCCTTTAACCAAAAGCTTTTGATTTGTTCCATACATACACACATACAGCTCCTCTTTAAATCTTGCTGCATTCATTGCTTCAAGAATTTCTATTCTCTATTTTTTTCACTTAATAATGTCTAATAAAAATGGTTCAATCTTGGGTTTTATGACCTTTTTTTTAGTAAAGGTCAAAAGACAATAGTGTAAGACTGCATACGACTTGAGAAATCACTTGGTTACAAAACTTAATTAAATATGGAACTGGCACATTGATAACTGACAGGAAATGAACCAAGATGATTATAATTTATATGCTATACTACACAGCACAGATAATCCAGTGACACAAGGCTCTTCATTAAATGTTCTCGGGGTACTTTTCATGAGCCCTAAACATTAACCCAAGCCTACTTCAGATATACCAGTAGGAAAAACAGAGGTGAGGCAGGAGACCAAGTAGTTAACTGTTTTGTTAGTAATTCATCACTGAAACTGATAAATTATAGTGAAGCTAAATGGCAACAGAAAAGCTAGAAATTGGGAGACTAATAACTGGATTTCTCCCAGAGTAAACTAGATTTTTATTACCAAGTACTAACTTTTCAGTGCCAAAGGGTGGGGCTGTATAGCCTGACTTCTACAGCCAGATATTTGCCAGCACAATTTATTTTTTTAGCTCAGTCCTGTTACAGCCCCTGTTAGTACCCAAGTCAGCTTTATAGGGCTCATGCATAGAATCATGGAATCATCTGGTTGGAAGAGACCTTCAAGATCATCGAATCCAACCATTCACCCTGCACTGTCAGGGTCCCTAAACCATGTTGCTCAACACCAAATCCACACGGATTTTAAACACCCCCAGGGATGGGGACTCCACCACGTCCCTGGGCAGCCCGTTCCAATACTTCACAACCCTCTCTGTTAAGAAATTTTTCCTGATATCTAACCTAAATTTCCCATGGCGTAACTTAAGGCCATTCCCTCTCGTCCTGTCATTCATAACGTGGGAGAAGAGACCAACCCCCATCTCCCTACAACTTCCTTTCAGGTAATTGTAGAGAGTGATAAGGTCCCCCCTGAGCCTCCTCTTCTCCAGACTGACCAGTCCCAGCTCCCTCAGCTGCTCCTCATAGGACAAGTTCTCCAAACCCTTTACTGGTTTTGTTGCCCTTCTCTGAACCCGCTCCAGCACCTCAACGTCCTTCTTGAAGTGAGAGGCCCAAAACTGGACACAGTACTCCAGGTGTGGCCTCACCATTGCTGAGTACAGGACAATCACTTCCCTGCTCCTGCTGGCCACACTGTTTCTGATGCATGCCAGGATTCCGTTGGCTTTCTTGGCTGCTTGGGCACACTGCTGGCTCATGTTCAATCGGCTGCCGACCAGCAACCCCAGGTCCTTCTCTGCTGTGCAGCTTTCCAGCCACACTTCCCCAAGCCTGGAGCGCTGCAGGGGGTTGTTGTGGCCCAAGTGCAGGACCCGGCACTTGGTCTTGTTGAATTTCATACATATACATATGAACTACAGGATAAAAACTCTGGAGGGAGGAAAGGGTGTAAGAGAAAACTGAATGGAAATACACAGCATAAAACTACAGTTTTACAATACATAAATTTTCTAGACTTGAGATTTAGAGATGACTAAAGTTTTCAAGATTGATTTGGGCATTGAGGCCCTTTGCATTATCTGGGCACAAAGTGCACCAACACAAATTCTCCTGGAGTATCACGCTGGCCATTTCACACATCAAGCTGACCAGCAGGGAGCATTAAGTCATGTTCCACCTACCTGTAAAGTTTCCATTGTGCTGTTCTTTGATCATTCCTATGCGTCTCTGGTCACAATCTGTTCCATTCTCTGCCATTTCATAGATCAGTCACGTATGGGGATCTAAAAGCAGAACGAAAACAAAACCGTAACGTCTCCATTTCTGGTTAAGACGACTCCATCTACTCCAGGGTCAAAGCATACAGGCAAACATCCAGCAGTTCTCCAAATCCAAATCACAGCTATCCTGCATTACACCATTAAAAAGGAGAAAATGATTAAATTCCCACAAAGGCAAAGATTAAAGCATTTCCACCTACATAAATCTAAATTTTTCACTTAAATGACAAAAATCCCTCACTTCTAACAACAGAACAAAAGCTTGTTAAACAATCCCTTCTACTCATCAGCCCACTGTTTGGGCTCCAGAAGCAGCAGAGCTTCATACAAACCTCAGTTCAATTCTGAGAGAGGTGCTTAAGATTTGATTCTCGTATTAGAAAGCATCTGTTCTGGCACTGAGCTACTGGGTCCTTAGTATGCAAGTAGACCTCAAAAGCCTCGCAGCCTGAAAAAATAGCCCTGAATATGGTAACTAAGATACAGAACTGCATCTCATGTTTTACACAGTCTAATAGCTCTAAACCAGAAAAGGCAAACTCTTCAATGAAATGAAAAGCTTTTCTCAAAAGCGTGCATTCTGTCTGCTAGTTTAGCCTCTCTAGTGAGATCAGCCTTAAAGAGTGCAAAAGAACAGCTGTGGTTTTCCTTATCCAGGAGAGTAAATGGTGCAATAACTGGAAGGCAGCATAAATCAGAATGTTGCAAGAGCTTTTTTTTTTTTTCTTTCTTCCTTAAAACAAAAAACAACACAAACCATAAAACTGAAAAGCTGACAATTCTTATGCAATCAAACACAAAGTAGCTGGTCAGACTCTTTGCTTTAAAACCCTCTCTGGCAGAGAGAAAACAGTTTCTGGAATTTTATTTTGGAAAAAGAGCCCTACGAAGCTGAAGTATCCTCCCTGTATGCAAACATGATTTACAGGTTTTGATATGCTGCCTTCGTTGGAAAGTAGTGCAATATTAAAATGACAGTTATATAAAACTGTCTAGTGGAGGAAATTAAGGTTTTACAGAAAAAATACTTCCCCTTTGATTTATGTCAGGCTTAAGAGCAAAGCAGCAACTCAGGTTTGGTAAACAGGAGTGAAATTGCCCCTTTGATTCAGATGGCAATAATTTTGTCAATCTTCTCAACAAAATGTTACAAGATTTCAGATACTGTATTTATCTAATATTTCCAGGGTTTTGCAAGTCAGTTTTAGATAGATTATTTTCTAAACAGGTACAATCCTTGTGCATTACTTGTAATACAGATAAAACAGCTACTGGAATGTGATTATTAAAGGGGTTTTACATAAAACCTAATAGTCAAAAGCATCAAGGTCTCAGGAAGGAGTCCTTCCTCCAACAGCTCTTTCCTGAAATGAAATGCACAGAAATAGAAATTTATCTAGTTAAACAAGCTAGCAGAAGCTAGTCTCTTGTATGTCGCAGTTTTTATTCATCGAAACTTGGGCCCCAGAATACCCAAACCACCAAGAAAATCAATCCAACAGCCTTGCAGAAGCTTGCTTCTGAAAATGCTGAAGGGCTGGTAGTCAGCCAAGGACAGAGGCCTGACCTGCTGCAGCAAGAGCTCGACAGCATCACTCTGCAGTCACTGGCAACCACAGGCTTGCTCCAAACTGCTGGTCAAACCCCAGAGAACTGGGAACCTCCTTCTCTCCTCAGATCGGTTTGGGAGCAGCCTGACACTCTGCAAGTCAGGGGAGCTACACCAGGACTTAGTGGAGGATAACTGGCCAGTTGCTATGGCAACACAAGGATCAAATGTTTGGCCATCTCCCGATTTCATTCCAACAGCGAGTCCTTGTAGATGGTGGATGTTTTGTTGCTGCTGACTGCACTTGCTAGGGGTGCTCTTTTTATAGATATAATTACATATTTATGTACATATACAATATAAGCTCATATACACACATACATATGTACATCACACACACTTTACACACGTTTACACTCACAAAGCTCAAATTGCAGAGGGCAATATTTGAATTGGGCATCCACAGTTAGAAAGCCTGATGGCTACAGGAAGCTGCTCAGCAAGCAAAAGCCATCAGAGTCACTCTGTACACAGCCACACAAAAAAAAAACGTTCTGGTTTAGGGAACTTCAGCCACATTTTGTTGGCTCAAATATAACAAACATTAAAACAAACCAAAAAAAAACTTCAGAGGAAGCCACATGTTCCTCGTTTTGAAATTCATCTTTTTCCCTTGCGCGAATCCAGCCTTCAATTGGTCTGGTCTCTGCTCTTAGCTTAATTACATTCCAAGAAAGTTAATTTACTGTGATACAAACTGCTCTCTGTGTTTGATGCTAAAACCTAGGTGGTGCACAGCACTCCCTCTCCTGAATTCCATGGCAATCCGTTAAACATCTTGCTGGCACACAAAAATCATCAGTCTCTAGGGATCTCAGGTGCATTGTTACGCCCATATCACAGCTTTCACAAGCTCAACTAGCAGAGCCAGTTTTACCCTGCCTGCTTGGAAAGGCACTAATCTGGGATTAGCTTTGCATAACACTACCTCAAGCACACAAGTCAACATTTACAGTGAAGCAGATAAATAATCCCCTCACACACTGCTGTAGGGTGAATATTTGTCTTAAAGTTCAACACTCTGCAGAAAAGCTCTGAAACTTGTATTTAAGAATCCAGTTGACTAGGAGATTCGATACCTATTACACGGCAAGTCCGAACGGGCTGCAATTCAGAAGCCAAACCCTTACTGGTTTCCTTGGTTTACCAAAGTCTAATTACACTTAAAGCATCTTAGCACAAGGAACTGGAGGATGTGCATCCAGAAGGCTCAGCACTCTGATCTCTTGCTCTGTTTGATGCCTGTTAGAATCACTACTCCTGCACTAATGTCTCCCCCCATGGAGATTAACTGGAGTGGGAGACTGACCCAAAATGGAGTCACCCTTCACTAACTGAGTCCACATCCTCAAGTCTACACCAAATCCATGACAGCTCACCACAAAAAATTAAATTTCATCTGCTAAACAGAACTTCACTTCTTATGGATGCTGAAAAAGACAGAGTCCATATCTAAAAATAAATTTGCCTAATACATTAATGAGCAGTTACCAGTAAACATAAAAATAAACTACTTAAAAGAGTGAGAAAAACAACTTTGAACAGTTTTTGTATCGGAGTCGCTTAGATCATTTGTTAAGAGTTGTGCTCACACAAGAACTTCTTTGTAGGGCTGAACAAATAGCCCACAATACACTATTCAGCTTTAGTGCAACCCATAACATTGAGCATAAAAAGACAATTCTTGCCAGTCAAAATGTAAACTGGTCAACAGAAGGGGCTCCTGTATAACTGTGACTGGCACTTCACAGCATAAGTGAGACAAAGCATAACAAGCTATTAGAGCACGAGAACATAACAAAAATCAGGCACTGCAACCTCTACACTCCCTAATCAGAGAAAAGGACAAAAGTCTTTTCTTTCTGCAGCTCTGGGGAGGCTGCTGAAGCACCCAAGTCTTGGGTGCACTTACGTAAAAGGAAACGGTTTAAGACAAGGCGGTTGCGTTCTTGCACTCTGACTTGGAAGAGCAGAATGTGGACTCACCAAGGATTTTCTGAGGACTCTTTTCCAATGTGCTGGAACAACAAGGAAGCTGTTAAACTATTTTAATGATCTCACTGCCTTCCCATGCATTGTTTGAATCGCTAATTCTTACCACCTCTTACTTAATAGGACACTGGAACCCTGACTCTCATCTCCAAAGTTACTTGTCACAGCGCTGCTAGAGCCAGACTTATAGCTTAGACTGTTTTTTGCTGATGTTTCCTCCCAGCCACCGTAGCAACACACCATTTCAGTCTTTTGTCATTTCTTGTATTTTAACCCACATGCTCTGATCCTACCAGTATCCTGCTGCTCACCTCTCCTCAACTTTTCTGAAAACCATTCCTTCTGTATCTACATCACTTTTTCAGTTACAATAAAGAGAACAAAAGATTAAAAACCAGACTACCACAGGTGGATAAGTAATTGCACTAAACTAAGCGTGTTACACATTTGTAATACGGCTTTGTGTCAGTCATCAAATGCTCCACATCGGCAACAATTTACACAGGGAATAAGTTAAGAGTTTCTTGGCAAAGTTACAGTTTGGAGAGCCTTTTCCCTTGAAAGTCCAAGACTGCCTGCCCACGAACACCTTTAGGTAAAGGAGGAGATCAGTCTTGAAGTGAAACATTACATACCCTTTCAGCTCCGTGCAACTATGTCACTCTTCACTATTTCTTCTGTATTTGAAGCCAGTGGAATAGTCACCTACGTCCTCAGCTCTGCAGACATTCAAGACCAAAGCGACTGCTCTTCCAAACCTTCCGTCCCTACAGAGTAAGATAATACTGTTCACCATGTGACACAAAACTGACACAGCCCATAACCTGAAGGTTAATAACTTTCCTAAAGATGACAGAAAACAGAAAAAGCAACTGCTTGATTTTTTCCAGTCCTTTAACACTCATGGGAAGCATTCAATTAAAACAAATTAGGACACATCTGAAAGACGTTCAAAATCTTCATAGATTTAGCCATAATAGGTTACTTTGATACGAATGCATTTATTCCCATACTAAAAATGTTGTGCTAACTAAAATAGTTTAATGCCTCAAAGGAAAAGTAATTCAGTTAAAGACCACAGGTTTCCATTTTGTGGGTCATGCCTCTGTACACCAGACCTATTTTCCACTTCCTAGCCAAATACCACTTCAAAACAATTTAGAGTTAAAATTTCCATTTTTCCAAAAAGACTTTGGGACATCTTTTAGGAAAGAATGATTTAATATTGTTGTAACACGAGTTTCAGGAATGCTGCACTTTTTTTTTTTTGAGGTTACTAAAAGTTCTGTCCCTGCCGTTAAGGCTGCAGGTATTAAACTGCTCTCTCTGGTGGATTTTCTCAGGTGAAATGCGAATATTGACGGTTATCTGCGTAGATCCAGCTGTACAATCAGGTGCTAT